GCCCTCATGTTAGCTGATCCAATGCTTCAAGCACTGGGATTCAGTGCTCAGCAGTGGCACCCAACCAGCTCCCAATCCAATCAACAGTAGGTGATTATGACAGCGAGCATCGCATAACATCTCGATCATCAGGATTTGAACATGAACCTTTTGGCATTTTCAAGTGCAACTATCTTGAGATGAAGGGCTCACATATATCATCACTGCACTCAGCTTACCATCCCATAGTTCAGCACATCTCATCATTTTCTCCTCTTTATGGCACGAGACCGCCACGTTGTCTGCAAGTGCACATCTCATGGTTGTGGAAGGTTTCCAAAGGGAAAGCGGATCCCAGAAAATCAGAGGCAAGACCACAGACAAGATGACTTGATCAGGCATTTGCATGCTCCCACACAGTGTCAGCCCATAAATCCTAGTCCTGCCAGACTTCATGTCTTCGATGAACCATTCACGGACATGCAGCGGCATGTTTTGGAGAGCATTATAGGATGTCCAGCTTTATGGCATTTTGGGGATGGAGAAAGAGCCATGTGGTATCGAGAGGCAGGTGAGCTCTCTTGACTAATTCCATCACATAGCAGGAGTCATACACTGGCATGCAGGACCATCCCTTTCACTACCACCATACAAAGGAGATCAACATGAAATCAGCAGCGTGCAAGGACAGCAGCTCAATAATGTCGAAGTAACATCACAAATTGGTAGGTTCAAGGCTTCGCAAGATGATTGTCATCCTCCCGAAGTTCATGTGATAATTACAGGCCCACGCAGGACCAGGTCTTTCAATTATGGCCACCTACATCGATGACGTGACATCTGTCTTCGATACAGCCTCGAGTCTTGTGGTTACACAGGGGAACTTGTGGCATGATACAAGCTCAGTAGTGGTGGAGAGCTGAAATATATGCTTGGTGTGGCGATTGAACACAATCAGGCAAATGGCACTCTGCAACTTACCCAGGGAGCATATGCACAACATGTGTTGGCATGTTTCAACATGCAAGAGTCGAACCTGGTGGCCATGTTATTGGAACCAGGGATGAAACTGGCTAAGGCTTATATGCAGGTAACACCAGAGGAGGCCCTCAAAATGGTGACTGTGCCCTATCATGAGGCACTTGGTGCTATCATGTACCTGTCAGTTGCTATCCGTCCGGACTTGGCTTATCCTGTGCAGGTGCTAAGTCACTACATGGCAAATCCTGGGATTGTTCACTGGCATGCGCTGAAGCGTGTTCTCTATTATATCAAAGAAACAGTCGATTATGGCATTGTCTACTATGGGGCCAACCACGCGCACTTGACCCTTGAGCCGATGGTTTACTCTGACTCTTCTTACTCTGCTTGTGCAGACATGGAACGTTCCACTCAGAAGCACGTCATGGTGATGGCCGGCGATCTGGTTACTTGGAGTTCGTGGTGTCAGGACATGGTCGCTCTGTCCACCACTGTGTCACAGTTTTATCCAGACATATATACTTTTGTGACACAAGTCCTATCTAAGTCAACCTATAACCAGATACAGAAGCACCCGCCTTCATATTGGTCTATCCAAGTGGATACTTGGACCTGTCACAAGTTAACACCAGATACCTCGCAGACTTGGCCATGCCTATCACAGGACCATCAGAGCACCCGATCTGACCACCCAGTTATGTGACCAGATAAGGGGCTTATACCTTTAGGCTATAATTGCTACACAATGGATAGCAGACCGTCTACCCTATTGGCTACATCCAATAGGACCAACATCATTGGGTCACTCAATAGTGACACCACTTCAGCTGCTCACAAAGTGGCACCATGTTATACAATTATCTCATTGGTTACCTCACGGCCATTTGTAGATAATTGTCATGGCAAGACCAAAACCATTACTGGTTCTGACATTATGTTCACATGTAGATACCAGAGGTCTCACAGTAGCACACGTGCCAGGGGTCCTGACTACATGTATATAAGCATTTATGAGGAACTGGGTATCCCCAGTTCTATTCAACTATGTTGTGAGGCCTACAACGGCCATCCTCCTCATTCTATATGTGATAAGGCTAGGGGCCCTTTGAGCCCCCTTCTGCTTCATGATATCATCCACTACAGGTGATGAGTCACAGGATGCAGGCATCACCTTGATGCCAGTCCCTTGCCCTTCAGGGTAGGGATTACAATGTGCCGTGACACACTGAGGTGGAATATATCACGGCAGTGCATGCAGGGCAGATGGCAATGTGGATCGAAAAATTCATGGGTGACATTTATTTGCCTATTTCTCTCTCAGTCAGCCTCAGAATGGACAGTGCGGGTGGCGAGAGCCTGGCAAAATGCTTCATCAACTTCACATGAGTCCAGCACCTCAATGTTCAATACTATTGGCTTCGTGAAGCCATTCGACAGAAGCAAATCCAGATCACTCATATTCCTGGCATCGAGAATCCCACTGATATTTTCACCAAGGTGCTTCCTCAGCCAGCCCTTTTCAAGCATCTCGTGTTTCTTGGCCTCACAGTTTAGGTTTCCCTTTCTTATTACTCTATTATTTTTTATGTTTACTCCTTTCTTCCACTCTTATTTCATTTTTTTTTCTCCCTTCATTCTTTTTCGGTGTTGCAGCCTAGAAGGAGTGTTGAAGTGTGGCCGCTTCAGGATAATGACGAGAGTGGGGAGCTCAGACTTGACAGCATGAGCACATGACCAACGCATAGGTACAGAGTGATGCATTTCGGTATTGACACCTCAGTCAAGTATGCTCACGTACAGTGCGACTGAGGTGAGTTATGATATCCCGTATATTTCCTGTGGACATGGACTTACTGTACTGTACTAGAATATGGCTGTGGACCTAACAGGTGCAGTACAATTAATATAGTCAAGTACGCTCACGTATGGCATGACTGAGAATATGGCTGTGGACTTAACAGCTATCTACATAACTATGCAACTAAACTATACATGGAACAATAGGTGGGAGAATCTGCCTATATGCAAAACAATAGGTGTGAAGATCTGTCCTCATTCGTAACAATGGTGAAACGATCTGTCCTATCGTGGTAATGGCTATACTCTGAGCTGATTGCCCAGACAATCTCTAACAATAGTCCTTGTTCCCTTTGTTCCCAAATGGGTGCCTCTATTGCATCCTGAAATAGACAGGTCCGACCGGATCATTTGCTGGTCTGGGTCATAAAATGTGATGTGGACTATCACCTGATCTCAACGTGTCACATCTGTGGCTGAGTGGCATGAGGTATTGGTGAAGCACGTGATCTGTGACATGAAAAAAGTCACGTGTGAACTTTGTGGTGAAAACTGTGACAGCCCCTTCAGCTTGTTCAATTTTTTTACAGTGTAATTTTGCTCAAATTATCCTGAAATGTTTTATCTATGATCTTCAGATGGTACACTATAATGCTATGTACTTAAGCTGAAGGGAGGATTCACAGCATGGACATGTGAGCTGAAAAGAAATTGAGTGTTTGAAGGACCAGTCATAAACTGTACATACTTCTCACACATGTCACTGCCATTATTTAGGCAAACTGCTGTAAATCATTTTGTCCAGTGTGGTCCCTCATATTTTTCACAAGAAAGGATCAAATAAGCGACTTTTCAGGCTTAAGACCTTTTTTGGACCGAAAACATCTCTAAAGGGGGGGCTAAAAGGCAATATTTCTGATGTGCCCAGATCAGCACTTTGATCTATATATAACTCACTTGAGCCACGGTGGCGATTAGCGACGCACCGCGGTCCACTCCTTGATTATTACCATGACAACAGAATTTTGCATTCATTGGTGTCTGGACAGGGTCTTCAATTGCAAGGCGAGATCGACATTGGGCCTCGGTGTGTCATTGTTCACCGTGTTTGTCTCCACCCTTTGTTTGGCCGATGGTGCCTCTGAGCTTAAAGGATCAACGTTCGAATTCTGACCATGGAGTGCCCCTTGACAGCATTCGCACTCTTCTTTGTGCATCGTGCCTTTGCCACATCGCTAGTCTTTTCAACCTTGTTGTGTGGAGAAATCACGTTCTCAAGCTCCCAGGCCAGCACAATGGCAAATAGTCCCTTCAAGGTTTCACTCAGGGAGCCTATTGCTTTCTGGTGAGGCTTCCCTTGCATGCAATAAGCTAACTTTCATAGAATCCTAACATGTGTGAACCTGGCACTAGGGGGATTACTTTGTGACCTGGGCACCACAAACTTATCATCTCAGATCAACACATTCTACATGTCACTAATGCGGCCCTCGTTCCCGAGAAGCTATCCATTACCAGTGATGGATCAGGGCCAACTTCCCTATTGTTGAGCCTTGTGGCGTCGCGAAGCCTCCTTTCTCTGATAGTGAGTGCAGAAAATACCAGCGAGCGCATCGTGCTATTTACTTTGATCCCCCTCCATGTAAGGCTCATGACACACACAGTAATCATATGCAATCCATAACTGATCCCTTCTTGATACCGTTAGATACCTCAGGCCACGCTGAACATCAACTTTGTCCCTAACGAATGCATAGGCTTTCAGGTCATTGGCGAAAGGTGAATAGTTCCCCGCGTAATTGAGGAGCTATGCTAATCAAGTTCTTGCATAGTGCACTATCTCTAACAGGCAATCTTGTCTTTTGTGGATCTGTTATGAGCAGCTCAATGAGTAGGGAGCAGAGCTCCATGGCAATCGTTCCACCTAAAGAACATGCTGAAGAAGAAGCAAAGACACAGAATACACCACCATTAGTGATGTCTGTCATACTTCTGGAATGATAATTCTAACATGCCTGAGCCAGCGTCACCAAGGTCATGAAAGGTGGCACATCCGCCAACATGATACATCCTCGAAAGCGATCCAGGATGCTCATGTTGCCGAAAACTCAGACCCATTCACGCACTGACATTCCAAAGGAGACCTTTGCTCCGGCCTCTATGATGACTGTTCAGGTCATGGCCAGCGAGGGCATCAACTACAAGAGCGGCACCCACATCCCTTCAGCTAAGGTGCTCGGAAAGCGAGCTGTAAGTTTTGAGAAGACTCTCCACTTTCTGCCTGTTTCTCACCATTCAAACTGCAGGTGCTTCCGAGCTGAGCATCTAGCGAGAGT